TCGAGGTTTGTGGAATTGGCAAAGTATTATCCACATTAAAATGAAGTGACTACCGAGTTCTCAAAGTGTATCAAGTTTGAGAATGGTTTGTGTATGAAAATCAAGTGTGCAATTGGATATCAACAGATCTGTAGGTTTCCAGAGTTGGTGAACAGCTGTAGGATTTATGAAGAAGATGACAAATCTCATTCGACTCACTACAAGAGTCTGAATGAGAAAAGAAGAAAACATTATCAAGACCATAATAAGCCTTATAATTCCCCAGCTGATAAAGGGAAACAAAAGGTTTCTGATTGGAAGAAGACATGTGGGGGAGGAACTCTCGCTCCTCTCAAGTGTTATAGGTGTGGTGAACAAGGTCACCGTTATAATGAATGTGATAATAAGGTTCTAGGATGTTACAAATATGGTAATATGGGTCATCGTGCTCTTGAATGCAAGAACGATGGTCCAACTTGTTTTAATTGTGGAGAGCAGAGTCATATCAATACCTAGTGTCAGTAGCCAAAGAAGGACACTGCTACTCAAAGTAATGGTAGAGTGTTCGCCCTGAGCATATCATATGATTCCAAGAAGGACAACTTAATTCGAGGTCCTTATTTTATTAACAATGTTGAATTGGTTACTATTATTGATACTATTTCTACTCATTCATTTATTTCGCGTGAATGTGCTAATATGTTGGGATTAAAGTTGTCTAATATGAATGGTAATATGGTAATAGATACTCCTGCTAGTGGTTTTGTTACTACTACATGTGTTTGTCCGAGATGTCCTTTGACCATTTATGGCAAGAGTTTTGTTATGGATTTAGTGTGTCTATCCTTACACCAAATTGGTGTTATTCTCGGAATGAACTGGTTAGAGTTCAACTATGTTCATATAAAGTGTTATGCTAATAATGAGAGGTTCCCTGATTTGGGTGATAATGAAAAACTGGTGTTGTTATTTGCTAAGCAAGGGAATGAACTTATGGAAGATGAAGCCTTAATGTTTGCAATGTTTGTGCCACTGCAAGTTGATCTTGAAGCTGCGAGTGTGAAATTACTTATTGTTTGTGAATTTCCAGTAGTGTTTCCAGACGACATCAGTGATTTGCCTCCAAAACGTGAAGTGGAGTTTTATATAGAATTAGTGCCGAGTACAAGTCTGGTGTCAATGACTCCTTACATAATGTCAACTTCAGAGCTGAGTGAGTTAAAGAAACAAATGGAAGAAATGCTTGAGAAGAAGTTCGTTCGACCGAGTGTTTCTCTATGGGGTGCTCCCGTGTTGTTAGATAAGAATAAAGATGGTAATATGAGATTGTGCATGAATTATAGACAATTGAATAAAGTGAATATTAAGAATAAGTATCCACTCCCAAGGATTGATGATTTGATGGATCAGTTGGCGGGTGCTAGTGTTTTTAGCAAGATTGATTTGAGGTTGGGTTATCATCAGATTCGCGTCAAACCAGATAATATTCCAAAGAAGGATTTTGGAACAAGGTATGGTCATTATGAGTATATTGTGATGCCGTTTGGTGTATCTAATGTGCCAGGTGTTTTCATGGAATATATGAATAGAAATTTCCATTCTTATCTAGATAAGTTTGTTGTGGTCTTCATTGATGATATTCTAATCTATTCTAAATCAGAAGAGGAACATGTTGAGCATTTGCGAATTGTGTTGCAAGTGTTGAAGGAAAATAAGTTTTATGCAAAGCTGTCGACGTGTGAGTTTTGGTTGAAGGAAGTGAGTTTTCTTGGCCACGTGATTTCTAGTGGTGGAATTGTTGTGCATCCTTCTAAAATTGATGAAGTGTTGCAATAGGAAACTCTGAAGTATGTGACTGAGATTCAAAGTTTTCTTGGTTTAATAGGTTATTATCGAAGGTTCATTGAAGGATTTTCTAAGCTGTCATTACCATTAACTCAGTTGAATCGAAAGGGTCAAGCTTATGTGCGAGATGTTGCGTGTGAGGAAAGTTTTGTGGAATTAAAGAAGAAGTTGACGATCGCTCCGTATTGATTTTGCCTAATCCGAGTGAGTCTTTTGTAGTGTATTGTAATGCGTCGAAGATGGGTCTTGGTGGTGTGCTAATGGAAAATGGGCAAGTTATTGCTGATGCTTCTAGACAACTGAAAGTTCATGAAAGGAATTATCCTATATATGACTTATAGCTAACATCTTTGGTGTTTATGTTGAAGATTTAGAGACATTATCTTTTTGGCTCTAAATTTGAAGTGTTCAACGATTACAAGAGTCTAAAGTACTTGTTTGATCAAAAGAAATTAATTTGAGACATAAAGGATGACTTGAGTTATTAAAGGATTATGACTTTGATTTGAGTTACCATCCTGGTAAAACAAATGTGGTGGCCGATGCATTGAGTAGAAAGTCTTTGCATATGTTAATGCTTATGGTTCAAGAGTTAGAAATGATCGAACAATTCAGAGATATGAGCTTGGTATGTGAAGAGACGCCTGATAGTGTGAAGTTAGGAATGTTGAAACTGAGTAGTGGTATAATAGAAGAAATTCGAGAAGGTCAGAAGTTTGATTTGAAGTTGGTTGATCAATTGACCTTGATTAACCAAGGTAATTGAGGTGAGTTTAGAGTAGATGGTGATAGAGTGATGTGGTTCAAAAATAGAGTGTGTGTTCCAGATGTTCCAGAACTTAAGAAGAATATTCTTCAGGAAGGACACAGAAGTGGGTTTAGTATTCATCCCAGTGCTACAAAGATGTATCAATACCTAAAGAAGTTGTTTTGGTGGCCAGTATGAAGAAAGAAGTTGCCAAATTTGTTTATGCTTGTTTAACTTGTTAGAAGTTGAAGATTGAGCATCAAAAGTCTTTGGGTCTAATGCAACCATTGAACATCCTGCAATGGAACTGGGACAATATTTCTATAGATTTTGTGTCGGGTTTACCGAAGACTGATAAAGACAATGATTTGATTTTGGTGATAGTGGATAGATTGACTAAGTTGGCTCATTTCTCACCAATGAAGATCAATCATCCTATGGAGACACTAGCTGAGATGTATATGAGGATATTGTGAGATTGCATGGAATACCTTCGAGTATCGTATCAGATAGAGATCCAAGGTCTACGTCGAAGTTCTGGGAAGGTTTGCAGAATGATTTTTGGACTAAGTTGAGGTTGAGTTTCACATATCATCTATAGTCGGACGGTTAGATTGAGAGGACTATAGATGATATGTGCAGGATCACCGGGCGAACCACCCAGTTGCCAAACGAAACAACTTTCATCCAGACCTTGTCAGGCGAGAGGGATAGTTGAGTTTTTGGCATGATTTTAGAATTTGTATGTAGGGGGTGATTCGCTCCTGCTTTGTCGGGCGAAGCAGAGGCGAGTGCGAGCTTGCCGGGCGAAGCAATCATTTTTCAGGCGAATGAAATAAAGAAAAACATGGGCTCCTGGAATTTGTATGGGGAACATGGTTCACCCCATCCTCGCTGGGCGAGCCTCAGGCGAGCGAGCTGCTTCGTCGGGGGAGCCTCAAGCGAGAGGCGTTTGACAGAAATTTTGAGAGGCCGTAACTTGAGTTTCGAAATTCTGTTTGACGCATCATTCAAAGCACTAGAAAGCTAACACGATGAACTACACTTTGATAAACTAAAATGAACTATATGATGTATTTTTCTAGTGATTGTGCTACGATGAAAATATGTGATTATGCGTTGATGTAAGTGATGTATGTTTTCTATGATGAATGTTGTCGTTGTGATTATGATGTATGTATTATGATATATGTGATGACATTATGATGACTACATGAATGATGATGCGTTTTGACTAGAAATGGTCGTTTTTTATTGTGTTCTTGTGCATCATACATTCGTGGCATATGTTAGGACATTGGTCCAGTGACGTTTATAGGACGTTTTGTCCAGTGATGTTGATAGGACGATTGGTCAAGTGATAGCCTTAACCGATAATGTGAATTGAGTGAAATATTGTGAAATGCTCTGGTTCCAAGAGAGAATTGATCCTATTGGTGGGGATCTTTGGAGAACAATGACTGAGTCATCAGTGAAGTTTTGGTACCACATGCATGAGTCAATGATGTTGTATTACATTCTTTGTGACATTGCATAATGGTTGATTTAAGTGATGATTTAATGATATATGAATAAATGATTGTTTAGATGCGAATTGTGATTTGATTATATGTTGTTACTGTGAACAATTTAATGATGTGAATGTGTGAGTATTGATGCGAAATATGATGATATTTAGATATGGGATAACTGTTGTGTAACTACTATATTTATTTCTTATGTCTTTTATAATGATTACAAATTATTCATCTTTTCTGTTTGAAAATGTTGTCTCGATGTGTGAGTAACTTGCAGGTGATTGAGTATAGTCCGTTGAAGCTTAAGAGGTAGCTTCAGAGTTTTTTTTTTTGTTTTTTTTATTTCTGTTGAATAAAGAAGGAGCCATGCTCTGATATGTAACATCGAGGTTTTGGGAATAGTTTGATGTGGAACATTATGTTCTTTTATTTATTTGAAATATTGAACTACCATACGTGGTATTGAGTTGTTTAGATTTATAAATCATGAAGAATGAAATACGATGAATTTGTTATAAAGGATTTTAATAAAGATTATTTGAACTATGAATTCCGATACGAATAATTAAAGTATTGTTGTTGTCATTAATGAAGTACCGTTGTAAAAAATATTGAAAATCTGTATTACTGAACAAGATATTTTATGTGATATTCGAAGATACATCTACGAAGAATATGTTCGAGTTTTTAAATTTTTTATCTTACCTCTAAGAAGTGTCCAAAGAAATTCTCTAAGAAAAAGAGTGTTTTCGATCTATGTTTGTAAAGCCCATAACAGACAAGCCCGTTTGGTAATGTGTCGTTTGATTTGGCGGCTCTAGTTCTTGTAACTTATTATCTCCCCGTCTCTTCCCTCTCGAACCGAAATCTTGAAGTAAAATCTCTCGCTTTTTTCGATTTTGAACAAACCCATGGCTAAACCGAAGCATCAGAAGAAGCCACCGCAGAAGAAGCAGCAAAACCCACAACCACAAGTATATCCTTCAACTTGTTCCAATATTGTTTTTACTTCATACATACTAATCACTGTGTTGGCAATGCCCTACTCATATAGTCTAGGGACTAAAAATTGATACTTAAAATATTATTTGAATTTGTTTTGAGTGTCGTTTATATCCACACACAAAATTCAATTGTGTTGGGCATGGGTTGTTGAGTAGGTTTTGTAGGGAAAATAGGTAGTATCATAGTCTATCCTAGATCCGTTGTTGTTTCAGTCCCATTGAGACCTGGGCGTGAGGGAGTTGTGTATTTATGTGTTAGGCCAAACTCCAATTCTAATAGTAATGCTTATAAGAATGATGGATGGCCGTTGGTGATCTGTTATTTATTTGGTGACAGAACAAAAAGCAGGATGATACTTCTCAATTTCGGACTCAGGTGGATGCTCTGGGCCTTCGCATTCTTGAAGTGACAGCAGATGGTAATTGTTTCTTCAGGTCTGCTTTAATGCTTCACATCCATTTTCCAATTACTGCTGTCTGTACCGTGTCTAGTATATTCTTCACCAAATTATTCTCGCTGCTTGTGCTGAAAGTGAGATTACGTTAAAGGCTCCGAGGTTAATTCATTTAGATCTCTATACCATGTCCCTTTTCCCTTCTTGCGTGGCCGATTCAAAGTGAATTTCGTGTTTATGGAATAGCCAGCGTCGTTTTTATTTTATTTTTAATTCTGCACTGTTCTATTCTTATTCAGATCCCTTGCTGATCAGTTGGAAGGTAATGAGGAGGAGCATCGAAAGTACCGCAGCATGGTGGTGAAACACATATTGGTATGATGTTTTGGAAACCATTTTTTCTCTCTTTTTCTTTTCTTCACGGTTCAATCTTTTAACTTAATTACTTTGTGAGTTTTGAGATTTTGAATTGCTTTTGAATGATTCATGATCCTTATGAAAATCGTTACATAATAATAAATGTCATTAATCAATTGTTTTGAAACTGTAATGACAGGACAACCGGGAGATGTTTGAGCCCTTTATTGAAGATGAAGTCCCGTTTGATGAATATTGTCAGACCATGGAAAATGATGGTACATGGGCTGGACATATGGAATTGCAGGCAGCTTCTCTTGTAACACGTAGTAATGTATGCATCCATCGGGTGAGTAGTTGTTGAAGATGTTCGATTCCTTCTCCCTACATTCTCATGTCCATTATGTTATATGATACACTAATGATTGGTTCGATTATTCATATTTTCATCTGAATTAAGATCTGGGTATGCCATTTCCGCAGTAGAGATTCGTGTCCTTGGAAAAGTGCTTCTAAAATTTATCGATTCGACTTTGCATGTTTTTGGTTGCTCCCTTAAGTTAACTGACATTCACATGCTTGTTTGTCTTCTTATGCAGAACATGTTTCCTCGGTGGTACATAAGAAATTTTGATGATTGTCAAGTTCGTATGATCCATTTGTAAGTACTGTGAAAAATCGGTTTAGAACAATTGTCTCGACCTTGCATATGAATTTTGATGCTTTATATGGGTATGGTGTTATTCTAGGTCTTATCACGACGGGGAGCATTATAATAGCGTGCGGTTAAAGGATGATCCTTGTGACGGACCTGCAAAGTCAATTATAATTAAGGTTCTTATTGTAATTCTGTTTCCTAATTCTGAAATTTATGTCAAGAGTAGTAGCTATTTTCTGATTAATTCTAGTTTGTGAAAGGCTGATGCCGATCTTTCAGTGCCATCCCTTCAAACAAAAGATAAGGCTAGCAAACCGTATGCTCAAGGTGGTCGGACAACTTTTCAGCCGGGGTCCGTAAAGGTGGTTATGGCTGGAAGTGGCTGTGAAAGCAGAGAAAAAGCAGAACAGGTGCAAAACGTGCATGCTCTTTTTCTGTTTTTTTCCTTCTTCCGGAAATTAACAACTTGACATATAAATAAAAATTCCTTGTTGTAGATTCTAGATCAGGTTAATGGAGATGTTGGTTCTGCAATAGAGTTTCTGATAGCAGAACAAGGAGCAGAAGAGTGCTCTTCGAATTCTGATTACCTTCCTAGTCAGGCTAGTACTACTGGTAATGTCTAGTCGTTGCAATTTTCACGTCCTGAGCGAAAACCATCATATTTTCATGTTCATAATTGGTGCTTTGTTTCTTGCTCTTGCATATTTTATCTTGGAGAGATTCATTCATGTTTGTGTTCATTCATTACATTCCAACCCGTATCTTGAATTCCTGGGATGTGCAGGTTGTGACGAAAATGAGAATCATGAGACTCACAAAGAAAACATAGTAGAGAACAACACGAATGGTGAATTGAGCAATAGCTCCAGGAAAACCAATGATAGTAACACATTGCAACAAAACGACAAGGTTTTCTTTTCTTCCCTTTTCAAATTTTGATTTGTTGGTGTTTATTTTCCTTTGACATTCTTGTTTGTTGTTCTTGCTGCTCTTTCTATCACAGAAGATTCCTAGAAACAAGGTCTGTCCGTGTGGTTCAAAAAAGAAATACAAAGCTTGTTGTGGAACTGCGTCGGGAAAACAATCTGCTAAGTTTCTAGTGTATGCCTCTTGCACTTCTATCTTATGTAGTCCGGTTTTAGTTTTCAATATTCAGATAATATCTGCACTCTGCGTTTTTCTTTGTTGATACTTGACATAGTTTGTATGCTACAATACGAGAACATAATCAAATCAAGTAAAGTGCTGCAATATATGATTTCATTCTAGTATGACCTATTATACTTTTCTTGAATCAGTAACCAAGAAGCTGACTCCAGAAGGAGCAAAAAAGAAACAAAGGGGACTTCAGCAAAAGCTGAAGTAACACCTGATATGGGCGCACTTTGCATCTAAAATGATAAAAAATGTAAGACACGTATTATTGTTTACAGCAACTGTTTTTTGCTTCAAGAAAGTGATTTACGGGATTTTTGTATATTCTCGCAGAAGTTAATTTATGCTCTGCCAGATGAGAGAAACTACTAACAGGTCAGTTTATTCCTGCTGATTTGCTTGTTTACTAGAATATAGATCTATAATTCATGTCTGTTTCAATTGAATATTTTCCATTCTTACCTGATCAAATATTCTGTAATTTTATTGAGCTATTCACAGTATAAAAATCCTCATTTTAGTGTTTTCGAAGTTATTTATTTCCCTAAAGCATTATAGCATAGCGGAATTTGAACAAATTTCCATTGTTCCGTAATACACTATTTGGTATAAAGTGTTGTTAGATTATGGCGTAGCGGCTATAGCATTGCAATGTAACCGAATTTGAACAAACTGTTATATTCTGCGATCTGTAATTGAAAGCACTGTAGCCTCAGAAACTGTTATATTGCAGACACCAGGACATGGAAATCTTGATGTCAAAACTCACATTAAAAACTTGATGTCGGCCCACATTGTGGACCTTTTAAAAAACTTTAATTAAGATGTTTTAAAAAACTTTAATTAAGATGTTATAGTAAACCATCATTTATTTCTTTATTAAGCTGGTAGGGACTAACATTACTGAGTTTTATTTACTTGCAAATACATTATTGCATTCTTGACATGTAGCTTATTTTCTTTAAACACGTTTTCTTTTTGCAGAAGCAAAATTTCAGACTGGGAAAGGATATACAAAAGAAGAAATAACTATATGCTAAATTATTTGTAATTGTTGATGTTAAAGTAAGATACTCTTGGGAAGAATGTGCAGGTCTTGATTATATATGTTTTATATGGAAGATCTTGAATAAGAACCAGTTTTGCCAAAAATATAAATATAAGAAAATATCAGTAATGCTTCATAGACTAAGTGGTAGTCTTTAAAGAGGTTTATGGTTCAAAAACTAGAAACTTAATACTCCCTCCCTCCTAAAATAAGTATCATTAGAAAAAAAATTTGTTTCAAAATACTTGTCTCTTTAGATTATCAATGCAATTTTATATTTAATCTTTCAATTATATCTTTTAATAAATATTCTTAATTTATTATTTTCTCATTTAATATTAATGCTAATTTAAATACATGAATAGTTAATATTGATAATTTGGTAAAATCATTATTTTCTCTATTTTATTTATTATTGTTTCTTAATCTATGTGAAATGATCGATTACGACAAGTAATATAGGACTGTGGAGTAACTAGTTTACCTAAACAAATGGTAGTGTGATCGAATCAATGTTCATCTTAATGATAATAAGATTAGGGCTGTTAAAGCGATATACAATTTCACACTCCAATTAATTCCAATGTACTAGTTCGTTTTAACATAATTGGCTTTGCTTGATTTAAATAAAGCAAAAAGATTTTAGGTCTATAAGCTATGAAGTTTCTTCGGTAGATAAATCTATATAAGGTAATGCTAGGACTGGACAATTGGTGTGTTTGAATTGAAATCGGACCAAAAAGTTAAATCCGATGTAGAATATGGTCCTATTCTTAGGATTCAGTTCTGATCGCTATAATTTTGATTTTTCAGCAGATTCAATTAAATAGATTTGATAGATAAATTTGGATTTGATCGGTGAACTAAATACGTAAAAATGCTCATTTCTTTTATAAAATTCACATTTATTTTTAAAATTTTTAAAATTTTAAAAAAAAACTATTAAAATTTTAGAATAAACACAGAAAAATTATATTTTATTATCAAAAAAATTATTATTATGTTATAACATATTTATCATCATTTGACATTAATTAATTTATTATAATATTTTAAACCATAAATTAAATAACACAATTTCATATGATAAATCTTGTATCGTTGTTGGTATACAATGTTACAATTAGATTTAAAAAATGATAATAGCCTAACAATATTATAAACTCCATTATGTGCCGATATTATAAAATAAAAACAAACAAAAATAAAGAGTTGGGTTCAATAGGATTCAGTTTTTAAAGTTTTTAAAGGGTTTAAAATAATTATTTGAATCTGTCGAAACAACATTATACTTCTTACATAATTGATCAATCTGATATTCGATCTGACCCAATTTATTTATATAAAAAAGACAATAATTCAATTGATTCAAATTAGACGATTCAAAATTGTCACAATAATGGAACATGTAACAAAGATTTTGAATTATTTTGTGTTTGTTTTAAATTATAGTACAATTTAACAAAAATGTTATTTATTTATTTTTAAAAATATTTAAATCTTCTTTTGAATTGTTCAATCCGAACACCTATAGTCCACACAACACTTCCACTTACTTTTTTTTTCTTTCAGAATTTGAAAATGCATCTCAGTTAAAATGGTAAATTATCCGTTAGACATGTATGTTTCATCTAATTTTTGGATTGAATTAAAGTTTTAGATCCATTGTCTTTATTATATTCAATCTGTTTCACCATAGTTTTTTTTACAGATTTTCGTAAAAAATAGACATTAACATGAATTTTTACCATTTTTAAGCTTTCAAAATGCACACAAACATTAACATTTTATACTCAGCAACTTCTACTATGACCATTTGCTATTTCTTCTGTTTTATAATAAATATTTCATTTGAGTTTTGCACAGTTAATAAAAAAAAATTAAATATATTAATTTTAATAATAAAATTAATATTATTTATTAAAATACTTTTATTTATATTTTTATGTTTTTCAACTATTTTACTAACTCATGTGAATTAGATCTAACTGGGACACGTTTTCCACCACTAATATTATTCTCCGTTTGGGTTCTAGAATTTGATTGTATATAGAAAACAATTTTATTAAAAGAGTTTTGACAATCTTAAACTTTAAAAGAGTAAATTCTAAATATTGATCAACATTTGTAGCCATAAAGGAAAACATTTAAAGCATCTTGAGGTTTGGGCCTATACCTAACACTAGTCTAGACCGAGTTTGCATTTCTAGCATTTTCTTTGTCAAAACTGAGTTATTGGCCTACTAGGCCTAGTAGATACTATAATATTCACTCTTGTTCTATATTCAGCTCATTATTTCACATATATTAAAAAAAAATATAAAAAACTAAAAAAAATAATATTATAGTATCCTTAATTTTATATATTAAAAATAATGAAAATTTAATTAATTAAAAAGTAGAATTAAAAAAAGTGTATTAAAAATTAAAATGAATAATTTATAGGATGGAGGGAGTTAAAACTTAAGACACCTATAATTAGCATAAAAAAAATAGACCATCCAGACATATTTATAAACAATATTTTTTAATAAATGATATATTTAATTATTATTATATATTAGATACATCAATTATTCAATAAATTTTAAATTTTTATTATTATTTATAAATATATCTGAAAAATATATGTACAATTCGAATTTCTTCTTTTGAAAGCATAGAAAATACATACGTAATGAAGTGGTTGTTTAACCTTAGCTATCAAGTTGAGTATTGCAAAATGAAAATGGTAGTGACAATAGATAGCAAAGTAGGTGAATTAAGACTTAAGAGTTTGTGTTGAATACTCTAGCTCCAAAAACAGAAAATTTAGATTGCACCAAAAAGTCCAACCACATTAACATCGAACCAAAATTAGAAAGAACCTCGTTCAAGGTTTTGCTTGATTTGGAAAAAGTAGGTTCTAGTTTCCCTTTACCTTTTATGTGTGCTCACCATCCACAATTAGTTATCATAAAACAAATGCAGTGAACCTTGCTTAAATTTTATGCGGCGAAATATAAATAATACAATAGTATACTTTTAGATTATTGTTTCTTCAAATCTAACCAATTACTTTGATATTAAATTTTATGCGGCGAAATATAAATAATACAATAGTATATTTTTAGATAATTGTTTCTTCAAATCTAACCAATTACTTCTCATATATCAAAGTCAATAGCTTAAACAATACTCTCGATGTTGTATAATAACCGATAAAAAATTCAATTTGAAACACATCATTTTTCCCCCTTCAAATTTGAATAAAAGGAGTGGGTTGTTAGGCATTCAACAATTAATACAAACCTTTGTCAAATTTCTATTATATGAATGAATTACGGAATAACATGACTGCTAAGTCGGAAACAATACATTATATAATTTGAGTATGGTGTCAAAAAGAAAAAGGGCCGCTGTATCGATGCCAGCGTGAGAAATAAATAAGGATATTCACATTTTTATAAACGAGTGTGGATAAATAAGTTAATTTGTAAGAGTAGAATTTTTTTTTTGTAATATGGAATATCGACACACTTACGGGAAAACTTATGAAAATAATAGGAGATATGATTAGGAGAAAAATCAATTTCATATGCCTACAAGACATTAAGTGGTTGGGTGAAAAGGAGAAAGAATTAGACAGTTTAGATTTTAAGCTTTTGTACACCAACAAAGTTATATCAAAAAATGGGGTGAAAATTATAGTAGACAAAAAGTGGAAGAAGAATATTATAGATATGAAAAGAGTAGAAAATCATATCATAGCCTTAAATTTTGTAGTAGAGCAAGTGAGGCGATGTATTCGCAAGTGTACGAATCGCGTCAGAGTAATATAAAAGATTATCGATCCGCAGAGACCAATCGTCAATCTATCGTTTCCTATTGTTACGGTGTTTAGCTAAGTCAATATTAAACAGGGAATTTAGCATGCAAGAAAGTAAAGTGCAGCGAAATAAACTTCAGATATAAAAGCAGGGTTGAATGTAATTCACATAGTCAGATGATATTCGCAATGCTTCGGAATAGAACTACTGGGCAATATTTTCTACTAAAGAAAATAATTAATTTAACAGGAACTGTCGCTTTCGCGTAATCAGAACCAAGTTTACTCTCTAATCAGACCTTCTTATTGTCACTTATAAAAAGGCGCGCATTGCGTTAAAGTAATAAACCTATTTTTAAGAAATAGAGTACTTGACCAAGTTGA